GACAGTCGCTCTTAAGACCTATCAATACAAAATAATAATGGCCTATTGTTTTCAATAACATTTGACATGATCTTAATGTTTTCCTTCATKTTTCTACTCCAGGGATTTTTTGAAGAAATAGAAGATTTAAAATATGCTCTACAGCAATCTGCAAAACTTAATTCTGCTTATGAAGCAGCTCTAAGAAGACTGTGTACTCAGTTTGGTGTCCCATTACCATCTGTAACTGGTTCTGGGAAAAAGAGACACAGAAAAAGACAGCAACAGCGGGAATTCAAATGAAACTTGATAATGTACAATGCTATGCAACAAGTAAGAAATATCTGACCAGGTTGTCTGTCTTCTGCAATACATAGACTAAAACAACTGTCATTTTATCAGCGCATCTTGAATTCTGACTGGTCTCATTGTTCAATAATTCTAGTTCTGTCACAGGTAGCCCAAGCTTGGTTTCTTTGGCGTTCTGTTATAAGGAAATGTATGGGGATTCATCAAAAATGTCAATAAAATCATTGAAACGTCTTATTTCTTACTGGTGGGGAAAAAGTCTTAAAACAGGCTAAATTCAAAAAATAACCACGCAGAGCAAAAGAAGTGCTATTTCTTAATGATCGGGTAAAATTTAGAGGCTTTATTTCACGTTTCAATGATTTTATTGAAATTTTTGATGAATCCCCATACATTTCCTTATAACAGGACACCACAGAAACCAAGCTTGGGCTACCTGTGGTTCTGTAGTATAGATACTAATAAATTTATACATGATACATGTGTAGATTTAATAATAACAATTAATAGTGCATTACAAAATGCAATGCTTAGTAAAATTTATAGAGGGATTTTATATTTTACAGTGAGGACACTCTAACCATGAACACTTGTGCTTTTTTACTACTTTTTTTAACATGCATCCCTTGAGTGAATCATTTAGAAATAAGTTGTCTTTGGATCCCATAGCATATTTGAGTTCAATCCTACTTTTTTAGAGGGTTTGAAGCAGTAAAAAGCTGAGAAAACAAAAATCTGAATAAAGTAAAGTGCTCACCGTTCGAGTGTCTTCACTGTAATACTTGAAAAAAAGTTTTATAATTCAGGAGTTAGTAATGATCAAAGTAAAAGTAAAGAAAACAATGGAATCAGAGTGCTTTTAGTCTCACTGTTGAATAGGTGACGTCACCTAAATTAGATAAGTTATTTACTGTTTTAGGTGACGTCACCTAAATTTGAAACTACGAGTAAACAGCTACTGAGATCAGGGGGAGAAACAATGATACAAATGAATGTTCACTCATTCTCTGGTAAAACAAACCCCCAGATTAGCATGACCGTTATGTGGCGCGCTTTTTACTATTTTAGGTGACTTCAACTAAATAGTTATCTAAGTTAGATAAATTTATCTAACTATTCAACAGTGAGATTGAATTAAAGCACTCTAGTGTCTAAACCAATGCTCACTAGTACTGTATATTTTCACGGGTTAAGTAAAATTACTATATAGCAGCTAAAAAGATATAACTAGCTAAAAACTAGTGTGAGCTGCGTCAGTGTTTCTAATGAAACAGTAATGATGTTCAAAAAGGTAAATTATAYGCCGTGAAAAGATGATATATAGCAGCTAATGTATACAATGTTGTTTTACTGGCAAACAGAAAAATACTAAAGGGAATGACAAAGACAGTCCCTCTTTTCTCTGGTATCTCAGTGGATTCAAGTTTTTCCCCTAACCCTGTCGAGCAAAGATTGGGGACAAGTGAGACAGCACATGGAGAGAGGAAAACTAATATAATAATATAATATAATA